GGAGGGAAGGAAGGAAGATCAAAACAAATAACATGGTGGCAGAGTACAGGGGGGAGGTCGAATCACGCCGGAGTTAAGCGTAACCCATGTGTCACCCTGAAGTAACTGGTTCCGTCTGTTGAGTGCTTACCATCATCAAAAAACACTGTGCTACCCAGATATACGCTTTCTGCAAGTTTTCGTCTGGTAAGAAACAAAATACTTCAATTACTTTCTCGAAGAAAGCAGCTGCAGTAGAATATTCGTCGTTCTTGTACAGCTTTTTGCCCTTCTTCATGAGAATGTCGAACGTGTTGTTGATCACRCCACTCTGCTAAGAAAATAAATAAAAAGTTCAGTTGAATACAACTATTTTTTTCAAAAAAAGTTGTATATGTTATTTTGCATGTTGCATACTGCACGTTGAATCTTGCATCTTGCTTACTGTATTGCGTAATGTATTCTATTCATATKTAAATAACATCAGCACAGACGAAATTTAGGAAAATTTCATATTGCTGTATATTGATATGGTACCATTCTGCAACTCAAATCGAGGGTGCGCTTGTAATACTTTGCTTTGTCCAAATTCTCCCTTTCAATTTTGGGAAGGCGGAATACACTCAATTGAAGAATCGTTGTCGGGTTCAGAAACATAGAACATAAARGCAGAGACCGAAATGGCACATGGGAATTAGATGCATGCTGWGACCGGCGACCTGTGGCATCATCCACTGTTTTTAATACGCGTTTGGCATTCTAAACCGACTGCATGGATGGCGCAAACGAATGCATTATAATATAATTGTTATTTCCCATGTGCCATTTCGGTCTCAGCTTTTATGTTCTATGTTTCTGAACCCGACAACGATTCTTCAATTGAGTGTATACGATTTGGGTCATTTTTGATATCATTTTTGACACACCGTTCCCTTGAGGATTTTTGCCTGTTCTAACCATACATTACGCTCTGGTAGGTACAACATTTTGGATGTAAAACTCATGCAAATGTGTCTATCCATTGAAATAAAATTCAAAGAAAGATATGTGGATAATTTTTTCCTAAAGGTCGCAGTAATAAGCCACAGACCTGCTGCTCTGAATCCACTTATTTATTTAGCCAACAACATGGCGTAGAGCTACACGAGGTTCAATCTCTAACRTACTACTGCTCATGCGCTCAGGTTACATAATGATTAATATTCATAAGACATAACAAGACCGAACGTTGCCTTTCTGGAATGTATGGTAACCTAATTGGGCCGACAAGCTCCTTTGTTTCCTTCCCGAGACATAGCAGTGAGATCTTCCTAGCTTAACCTTCATGATAGTAGGGCCTCGGCTTGTAAAAGTTCCAGTAAGATCAGAAATGACATCTATTCAGATAGAAAGCCACCCCTTTCTGTATTATTTTCAAGTACAAACATGCTTTTCATTGAGAGACTCATTTGAAAAATCGTTTTCCCGTCGGTTACCTTTGTGAAGGATTCTTCAACTTTTTCTTGGATGTTGGATAAAAGTTTTCCATATTGAGGGTTCTGAGATATGATATAATTAGATTTAAATATATATCTTATTATGTTAMAAACTATATCTGTTTAGCACCCATTTCCGAGATGGTAGAGCCCTTTTCCGGCATTTTCCCCCACATGAACACATTTGAAGTAAGAATTAAAAAATAGATCGTTCTCACAAAAAAATCTGATTTTTGTAGTTGTTTACTAAAACATAAATATTCTATTAGGATACCATTTCACATAAATATAGTTTTTAAATGGGTCCTTAAATAGGTCCTGATTGTGGGACCGGAAAACCATGAGAAAGATTTACTCTAAGTCGCACCACAGTAGAGAACCAACAAGCAACTTCTCATGCTCACATATACACGATGGCAGGTCTGGGATATAACTAATGACCATAGCGATGAGTTAGATCGAGAGGTGCTCACACACTATGCCCGTAATAACAGGCATTTTGATAAGCTTCAAAGAACGTTGCCAGGGTAGGAACGACAGTTGTGGGTCTTTGACTTACCGATGGATGAAGTTGTTTGAATATTAGAGCCAAAATGAAAGCACCAATGATATCGTCACGGCGTTCCTTGAGCTCAATCATCAATTGCTCTGGTATGTGAACCTTGTCAGGGCAATTTGAAACGACCATCTTGCAAACTGGTAAAAAGCAATAGAGAACATTCAGTTCCAAGAGATCACTAGTTATATTAGATTAAATTGAATTCTTTACGTTGTTGCTTACCGATTTCAGCGTTATTTAAAGCGTCCTCATAATTTCCCTAAGAAAATACAACCATCACAAAGTTATATTACTACAAACACTCTTGCACGAGTCCATTTCAACACAGTTTCTAAGAATGTTTTAGCCAAAAAAATATATATATAATACTCTGTACTTCTGTGAGACCACGATATATTATTAATACGGACAAGAGAAAGAAAGTTTGGGAATTGCTGAACAAATTGTGAAGATCTTGTGCAGACGTTTGTTGTCTACTTTTTTTGCCATACTAAAAGTTCCTTGCATGAGTCTTACCATTTCCATTTGACATCGTGAGATCATATAAAGGCTCTTCATGAAAGCGTACACCGCATTACTATCAGCCTGGTTATCGGTCGCTTCTTTTGCTCGCTTGAGTATAAGACCATAATACTGCAAAGCCTCGTCATAGTTCTTGTTTTTGTAGTGATCATTAGCAAACCTGAACAAGACTTCGATCTGCATAAAGGCATTCGTAAAGTCACGTTGGTAAGGCTTTACTGAATAGCTTTATTTGTATGTATATGTAYGCTTTAGCTGGCACTTAGAGTATTCAATTAATGATTAATTTTATTTAATGGTTATRAACAGAAGGACGGATGGAAG